TTTCCCTTACATTTTCTTTCAGAAGAAAATGCCAATCTTGCTTTTGCAGGTGAGAGGGGGAGAAGTAAAGGCCCAGGTTGATTCGTTGTTTCTGTTCGTAGTAAAGAAAAACAGATCGTATTATTGTTTAAAGTGGTTCGAGTTGCTTGTTAGAAACGATAAACGTTCGTTGGGTTGGTATCTCGTTTATCGGTGAAAAGAAAACTTAACGAGCCCTCGTAAATCCTATTTCTTTTTCTATCTGTCTACTATTACTACTATTTTCTCACTTCTTTTTTATTTTATTTTTATTTTTATTTTTATTTTAATTTTATTTCTATAAAATCCATTGTACGTTTCCACGCGTAAATACACGCGTTCTAAAAAAAAAAAAAAAAAAAAAAAAACAATACACTTGTGTTTGAAAATTAATTTCATTTATTTCTCCTATGCTTTTTTTTTTTTTTCTTTATCGATAAAAAATAATAAAATAATTTTCTTCACAATTAATATCAAATGTAATATATTAAATTATATTTATATTATTATTAAATATAATATATTAAATGTATTATATTTATTATTAATTAACTTTGCAATTTATTAATTACACAATTATATATACATCACATTTAATCGTGAATAAATATATTATATTTATTTTATATTATATTATATTTAATATATTATAATATTAATTAATTATATTTATATATTATTAAATATATATTTATTAATAATATTATTTAATATTATTTATTTGAATGATCAATTATCAATTATTTTGTCCACGTTTCGTTTCAATTGTACGATCATCTTATTATATCATAATTTTGAAAATGAATTTCAATGCTAAACTTTTACTAAACTTTAAAGATGTTTTTTTTTTCTTTTTTTTTTTAAATGGAAAATTTATTTAAAATAAATCTTATTAAAAATATATAATATATTATCTATATATATATATATATATATATTTTACAATTAGATATTCATTAAGAACTATATGACAACTGACGAAAAGGAAATAGAGTAATATATAAGTTTTTACTATTAAAGGAACAAACGAATGAAAAGGTGGAATAACTAACGAGATGGATTATCCGAAGTATGACCTACATTAAGTTTGAATAATTTCCATTTGTTCTTTCGGTTATCGGGGGAAAAAAAAAAAAGTTATTATTATCTTCGAAAAATATTTCATCTAATTATTTCACCTTTCTTTCTTTTCTCTTCTCTTCTCTTCTCTTCTCTTTTTACATTCGTTAAATATTTTATCATACATTCCGTACTTCTTTTAATTCTATTTGTATTACAACAGTAATTTTTTTTTTTTTTAGGTCACACGTGATAAAAAAAAATAGAAGAATAAATTCTTGTTTTATCAATTATTAAAATTATTATGAATAATAAATGTTGTAAAATACGAAGAAGATTGTTTAAAGAATTTTCTGAATAATATAATATTACGAACAAACACTATCATATTTAATAAAAAAGAGAAAAAAAATTAAGAAACATCAAACTTTCTTTTGCAAATTGTTATAACATTATTATTATTATTATTATTTTGTTAATATAGTAAGAATTATAAAAATAACAAGAACTTAAACACATTTATTAGAGATAGTTAGTAGTTCGACGATACACGTACATGCGTAATTTACCCATACAGTGAAAAATAAAGAGACAGAAAAAGAAAGAGAAAATGTAATACTCGAAAAAACACGACTCAATGTTAGAAGAGACTACAAGAAAACAAAGAGTGAGTGAGTGAGAAAGAGAAAGAAAAAGAGAAATAGAGAAACAGAAACAGAAAGAAAGAGAGAGAAAGAAAGAAAATGAGAAAAGGGGTGGGACAATGTTTATGGGGTGTACATTTTAAGCCGGACGATAATATCAGTGGATTAGCTACGATATTTTACAATAGTAGAAGCTAAAGTGAGATAAGAAGACGATTGTATCTACGATAAGAACAAGTCTAGTATTATACGTATATAGATTTTTTTTTAGGTATACTGTACATACAGCATTTCTAATACTATTTCAAAACCTTCTATTGAGGGAGGGGGGGATTATTTTTGTTTTATTTTGTATCTTGACCTTTTTCCTTCCTTCCTTACTTCCTACCAACTTTTCTCAGAATATTATTCTTATATTTACGTGTAAATAAATAAGTACGTGTAGACTTGAATACGGACACGAAAACTCCATTTCTTTTTTCTAGTACGTCACGTTAGAAGTAAAAGGAGGAGGAGTGTTGAGGGGGAGGGAGGGAGTGGGGGTAAAGGTGAGTGTTAGTAGTAGAACTAGGTAAGGTTTGTTCTATATATATATATATATATATATATATATATATATATATATATATATATATTGGGATCTTTTGAAATGCCTAGAAAAGGCTTTAAAAAGTATTCTTTAGAAAAATGTATTTTTCCGATATAAAGGATTTCCTTCCCCCGTTGTCAGATATTCCAGGGTGCCGAAAAGAAAAGGAAGCATATGGATTGTAAATATTTTTCATAACATCCGCGACACACCCTTTATGGGTTAAGGGGTGGGAAGGGTTGTCCTCTTTAGTAGTAGTAGTAGTAGTAGTAGTAGGATGCCAAGATGTCTCTTAGAATATATTGCTTATATGCATGCGTTTTATATGTGTGTATGTATGTATGTATATATACGTATTTGATACGTATGCAATATATATATATATATATAGTTTCGTATAAATAGAAATATTCGAGATTCGCCAGAGGGCTACTATCATCGTATACATACTGAACAGGTTATATTTTCGTACATAAGTATTATATATATATATATATATATATATGTATGTGTGTGTGTGTTAGTGTTCATCTTTCGAACCTTGTAGGACATCCCCAAAGGGTTTGTAAGAACATTCAGAATATTTTTTAATTTTCCTCTTCACCAAAATACGAAATAACAAGAAAGAGAGATGTTTATTAAATAATATATATATTATTTTTATTTTTAATAATTATTAAATATAATTATTAAAATAAATATTATTAGTAAAAAAAAAAAAACAAAATAAAATTTATTATAATAAATTAAATATAAATAAAAAATGAAATATTAAAAATAAAAATACGTCGAATGTTTTGCGTGTTAGATATTATCTTTTTTTATTCATCGTTTCTTTTTAGCACACGCGAGAAAAAAAAAAGAACTAAATATAGGAACACATGACGGAAGATAACGGATGCCAGAATGACCACGTTGTCGTAAAAATAGAAAGATTCTCTGATGACCTTCAGGTGGAAATATTCAGGCCTACCGTGTAATCACCGGACGTGATGATGGGCTTTAAAGTCAACCCCTTTTTCTGATTCAACTTCTGAATTGAAAGAAAGCAAGTTAACAGTTTCTTTCAAATCTTCAAATTTCTGATTTAAACGAACATATTAAAGAATTCAATTTCTTAGAGAATAATAATTAAGATTGATTACTTTTCAATTAGTATACACCCAGTATAACTAACGTAAACTTCTGAAATTGATAGAAAATAATAGTTTGTTTAAAATTGTTTCATTTCTGATTTAAATTGAAATACAAAAAAAAAAAAAAAGGAAATAAAATGAGATGATTAAAAAATTGATTATTTTCAATTAGTATACACCCAGTATAAAATCATATATAACATTTCTTCCTTTAATTATGATAAAACGTTATACCCTAAAAATAAAAGAAAGAAATGAAATGAGATATCAAAACTCTCTCTCTCTCTCACTTTTTTTTCTATAATTTTCTCCTTTCGTATCTTTGTCTTGTCTTTTGAGAAAAATAAAAAAAAATAAAAGAAAATAGAGGATAAAAAAAAAATAGAAAAAGGAAAATATCGTCCTTTTCCTCTATTCACCTTGATTTTTTTTTTCTTCTTCTTATTATTTCTCATCGTGAGAACAAACAAGGAAAAACGCAGGTGTAGATACCATTCTCATACTATTCCTTTCTTCTTTCTTTCTTTCTTATTCTTATTTTTATTCTTCTATTCTACTCCTTATAGTCCTCTTTTGCTTTATTTTTCATCTTTCTTCCTTAAGAAAAAGTATCCTTATTTCTGCACTAACCCAACCAACCAACAACCTTCTCTACGTACATTGTACATTTTTCCTGCATCGATATTGAACCTTGCTGCAACCACGTAGAATAACGCAAAGAAGACAAACATTACAAATAAAAAAACACTAAACAAAAACGATATCACACATACACTTAGAAAATTGCACATGTGTGTACATATGTATGAAAATATTTTGGACATTATTTTTTATAATTGAGCTGTAGTAGTAACCCTTTAATTTGTTCTTTTTTTTTTATTTATCAACACACCATGTGAAATTTTTTCACACTCTTCAATGAATTTTAACTACGCTAATTTTGATATTTTTTTCTGTGTGTGTGTGTGTGTGTGTAAAAAACATGTGTATTTTTCATGAGAAATAAATTTGTTTGAATATTGGATAAAGGCAAAGATAAAGATAAGAAATAATGAAAGCATTAGATACATGTGGTGCGTTCAACTTCAGTTACTTTTTAAGGTAGAGTCTCTTTATCTAGGTTAGTTCTTATAAGATCTACAGTTTTATGATATTGCAGTTTATGCATCCTAGTACTTGAGAAAACTAAGTAGTTCAAACTTTTTCAAATGAAAATCTTCAGAAGAAAATAATTTCTTCTCTTATATATACATATATATATATATAATATATTAAATACTATATATACTTATACAATTATTAATTAATTAATATAATATAATATATAGAGTATTTAATTATTATAAATTTATAAATTTGAATATCATCGTCACAATGTGTGTCACACTGTGTGTCACAAATAATTTGGTTTTTTTTTTTTTATATAAAAACAAAAATAAGTGTTGTAGAATTCGTGAAACAAGATTCATTGAAGTTAAGTGGATATGATGATGATGATGATAATAATAATAATAATAATAATTAATGAAGAACGTGTGAACATTTTTGTTTCAGGAACGTACTTCATTCTGTACGACTTCATCGATTTCTTTGACAAGGACACGGCAAGCTTTTTAGAGCGTGACAAATTCGTTGGCATTATCGATACTATCTTCAAAAACATGTCGCAGATCGAGCGTGACGCCATCAAATTTCAAGTAAGTGTCGTCTCGATGGACTATCACTTGTTAAACACAAACTTTATCTTCCGATAAATATGATTCCAATAACTCCCATCCTCCCCTCTCCCCC